GCGCCGTCGGACGCTGGTGGGGACTCGCTCTCGGCTTGACCGCATTCTTCCTCCCAGGTAAGCGCGTTCGCCCCTGCCTTGCCCCCCCACCTCCCCAGCCGCCCCCATCCACTGCCTCCCCGGGGCTGGCAGCTGGATGGAGGGCACCACTGGGTTGTACGGAGTGAAAGGGGCCAGAAAAGTTGGGTCAAGGCTTGGGTAGGGGAGCAGGAGGTGGAACAGCCGAGAGAGGCTGAGAAGCCCAACCGCCCGCCCTGCAGGGAAGCAGTCGGGTGCACGTCTCTATAGAGCAAGAAAGCACTTTCTCCGCTCCGTTCTTAACAAAAATAATAATATGTAATCGCGTTCTATTTATTTAATAACCAGCTCTCAGCTCGGGAAGCAGTTTGGAAACATGCTTGTTACATAAATGCAAAGTAATCGCGGTCTCGGGGTAAGAGACAACAACCTCAGGGGGAGCGCGTCAGTCCCGGCGCTGGTGGGCTGTGGGTTTGGAGGATGGCGAGGGGCTTCCTTCTTTCGCCGGCCCCTTTGCCATTGCCAGACGGTTTCGGGCGCTCGGGCCCCCTCCTGCCCCACATCGCCGCGCAGCGGGCGCTGAGAGCCCGCTCCAGCTGCAGAGAGCTGGTCGCTCACCTGCGGTTCCTTCCTGGGAGGGTGAGGCCGGGCTGCCTGGGATCGCTACCTCCCTCCTGGCCTTGCGCGGAACAGGGCTCGGCCTGGGAACTCCGCTCTCAGTTCGGTGGGCTCTCCCCGGAGGAGACGCGGGCTTCGTGCCAGCCAGGTGGCTGCATGACCCACTTTCCCGAGAGGCCCCGAGGGTTCCCCGCCTGTCCTTTCTCCAGGCGCAAGCAGCCGGCGGCCAAGGGGTTAACCCGGTGCCCGACCCTAGGGTAGCCTGCGGTGGCCCGTTTGGACTGGTGGGGTGGAGCGGAGGCAGGGAAGGGCGCAGGCACATTGTGCTGGGGAATGAACTGGAAAATGCGTTTAGGAGGCAAATCCGACCGTCCCCGCGCCTGCATTTAACCCTTTGTGTCCCTGGGAAGCTACCGGGTTCCTTCCCTGCCCGGTGACACCAGCGAGGGTCAAGGGGAGGTGGGGGTTCCTTTAGCCCTGTGGGGAAGAACCCCAAGCCCACCTCCTGCCCTAGCAAGATGATTTGGGGGGTGGGTGGCTAGACTGGAGCACGTGGCCCTGTGCAGGATGGCTGATGAGGGGGTGGGGATGTAGAGACCAGCTCTCTCTGGGCCAAGATTTCTAGATCCCCAGCGCCTGGCGAAGCAGCAGACTCACTAAGCAGTTCGCTAGCGAGGGGCCAGTGTGGCTGCCAGTCCCGGGCCTGGGTGCACCCCTGGGAAGCGAGAGCCTGGCTCCATCCGCTCCTGTGGCCCTTTTCCTGCCAACCAGCTCACTACCCAGATGCAAATCCCAGCGAGTGGTGGGTGGTATGGCAAACAGAGACCAGGTGCCCCCAGCCCACCTCTGGGGTGCTGCCTGCTAGACCTGTGGGGACAGGGGAATGGCAGGCCACAAAAGGCACTGCCCACTTCTCAGGGGCAGGACTGAGCCCCCCCCCAGAGGGTGGTCTGGGTGAGCATGAGAGGTCTTCGCCTCACCCTGGGCCACCTGGGACGCAGCAGGAGAAGCAGCTCTGACTCTAAGACTTGCCTGACCGCTGGTGTCTGGGCTTCTGGAAACCCTTAAGTTCCATATGTCCACATCCGGAACTGGGAGGAAGGAGAGCCCCCTGGCGCTCTGGTTGGTCCAGCACACTAAGGGTTAACCTAATCCTGGATGGACAAAGGGCGCGAAGGTTCCCAGAGGGGGAAAGAACTCACCCCATTCTCCCTCTTTTTGTTATTCACTTTTTATTTTTTTTCCTTTATGGATATAGTAGAGACCCAGCCCTGCTCAGCTATTGTGTTTCTTATCCTTTTGAAGAAAGAAATACTCTGTAAATCCCAAGGTTCATAGCATTTTATACACAGCTATGCTGAAAGTTCTCGACTGTTGGGCCTTGAAAACCTGCATATCTGGAGATGCTCCTGTTTTCTCCAGATCACACTGTGTTCAAGATGGCCACAGTGCCTGGCTCCTCCCTTGGAAAGAGAGTCTACCTCCCTTTCTCACACAGGAAAAATTCTAGTGCACCTGCCTAGAAATGAAGTGTTGAGAATGTCTGCAGAACTGCTTTACTTTTGCTTGAAAGGAGGAGACAGTTCAGTCCTACCCACATGCAGAGATATTTGTGGGTACTTTTCATAGTTCATTCAGGGAAATAGGAGAGAAAATGGCTTCCACCAAGTCACAGATTTATACACATCCCACTGTTTAATGTTTTTTTCCCCTTTTATTCTTTATTTCTAAAACCATTTCCCCAGATGCTTTCCTGGGGGCAATTATGCTTTCTTTACCTTGTTTATTTCCTTTGTTTTCCTCCCAATTCTTGTCTCTGTGGGTGTGTCTTATCTTTTGGTGGTTTTCTTTTCTCATCTCTTGTTTTGTGATGCTGGGGGTTGATTTGGGGGACTTGAGGCCTGCCTTGCTCAGCCCACTCAGGAAGTGACACTCACCTGGCTCAGAAATCCAGAAGAGGGGTGGGATGCAGAGAACAGAGCCCCAGCTGCTGGTAAGGGATGGGCGGCGAAGTTCCAGGAGCTGCAGCCTCTGCGCTCCTTGGTGAGATGCCTGTGCTCCTCCGGCCCCCTCTGCTCGCCTCTCCGGGGGTCTGGTATGAAGGGAAGCAGATGGGTATGGTGGTACCCGGTCTGGCACTTGAACAGAGGCTGGCAGGAGACCCGAAAGTTGCCAGCCCACGGCACTTTGCACACCCGCCGGCTTCCGCCCCGTGATCTCCCACTACTGCATCTCTGGGGACTTGCCAGTCTGATGCTCTTTTCTGGGTTCTCCTGGGCTGTGACGGGGAGCACAAGGAGGGGGGTGAAGAGAGGAGCCTGCTGGGGGAGGAGCGAGGAGCCCCTGGTGTGTGTGCGCGATGCCCCTGACTTCGAAATGCTCCCAATCTGGCTATTGAAGTGTAAACACAGAAGTATGTTTTTGACAACACAGACTTTACCAGGCAGAGTGGGAAAGCCTCTGTTTGTTTCCCGAAACGCCGATCTGTGGCTCCTTCCCATTAACTTGGAGGAGAGGGCCAGTGGGCAGCATCTCACAGGGGTGGACAGGGGAGCCCAGGAGGAGGCAGAGAACCTGCTGAGAAGCAGGTGTGCAGAGCCCTGTCCCACCCACACCACACCCTCCCTAATTGGCTTCCCCACACCTTTTGTCTGGAAAGAGAACACACACCCCAGGTGTCGCGCACACCCTCAGAAGACCTGTCGGGCCACAGCGCAACCCCTCTGCAGGCCGTGCAGCTTGCTGTCGTGGTGGTTTCCTTTGAAACTCCGAGTGGCAGGGCTGTGGGTCACATTGCTCCCCCGTGTCTCACAGGCAGTGTGCTGTGATCGGTCTTGAGAGGCAGAGCGACTTGGGCAAACCCATTCTTCAGGCCTGTGGTTTGTAGTCCGTGTCTATGAGGCAGCACTGTGGAGGGTCTCTGAATCAGGGTCAAGGCCTAGGAGGAGTGGAGGAGACATGGCAGAGCCTGGGCCCAGTGGCCCTGGCTGGGTGACTTAGAAGGTGACTCTGGAGCCTGAACTTCTGAGCATGCAGGGCAGGTAGCCCAGGTCTGCCTGGGGCCTGCTCACACCCGGAGAGTACTAGCAGTTCCCTTCTCGGCCACTCAGCTCTGCGCAAGGATTACGCCTTGGCCACTGCCTGACCCCGGATCCAGCTGTATGCTTCCAGGCCGGGTGTGCTGGGCAGCCCCCCAGCGCTGAGGGCTGAGCCAGGCCTGAGTGGACCCACATTGTAGGGGCAGCTGGAGGGGCAGAGGGTCGCCTGCCGTTGCAGTGTCTGGGAGCCTCTATTGTTTTGCAGCTGACTAATGTTCATTGTTCAGCACAAGCAGAGAACACCCAGGGGAGGTGTGAGTGGAGCTTCGATTTTCAGATCAGGCCTTCCTGGTTAACCTGGTAGATAGAAGACCTTCAACCTAGGAGAGGGACCCAGAGACGTGTCTGCATACTCACCTGCTGTAATGATTTGGTTTTTGTCATTTGACTATTAGCCAGCGTGCCAGGCTAGAATGGGCACTAGCCGGCTGTGGGACTGGGGCCTTCACGTCTGACAGCCCACACGTATGATCTCACCTTCCATGTATGCTGGGCGCGTGCACACGCTTGTGCAGAGCTTTGTGAATTTGTGCTGGTGATCTGCAATTCATGGTGCATGTGCAGAGCTGTGGGGATGGGATTGGGAGACGTGTGCACTCGTATCTGTGGGCCACCACGGGACCAGGCCATAAATGTATAATGTCAACTGTTTGTTCTTTACGTAGCTGATTTCTTAGACCTTCTGGCTGGGGTTTGCTGAGTGGCTCTGAGCGCTGATAATGCCTGTGCTCATGTCAGTGTCTGTGAGGGTGACTTTGGGAGGAGACCTGAGATGTGCTCTTGGCCAGCTCCTTCCAGGACAAGCTGCCAGGTCTGTGGGGGGTGGGAAGCTGCTTCCTTTTTCTGCCCTTGGTTTGAGACTGGGCCCCTGCATCCTTGCAGGGAGATGCCCGAGACCTTGACAACATGTGGAGAGACCCTCCTCTCACAGCCTTCTGTCGGCACCCCAGCAAACAGAGCAGTGGTGGAGCCTGTGAGCCGGAGCCAGGCCTGCCCCACAGGTTCTCATGATCCCTGCGTGGCTGGGAGGGGCCGAGGGAAACAGGTTTTCCGCTCCTAATTTGGCATCTTTGCACCCTGCATGGATCCTTGGGGAAAGAATTGTGGAGGCAGTGGTAGCAAACTGCATGGATTTGTGTGTTTGCTTGTTTTCAGATTTTTATCATAGGGTGCATGCACTCACTGGAGAGGGATAGAGAGAAGGGAAAGTGAGAAATCATGCCCCTGGGGGATAGTCTCGCCACAATCCCTTTTCTTCCATTCTCCTGCCAGGATTTGGGACAAGCACACACACATCCCTGGTGTGATTTTCAAGCTGCCCGG